TGCATGCATACACATGCAGCCAGACACACACCGCCCAGCCTCTCCTGCACGCGGGGGGCATGCACACACCACACTCCTCCTCACCTGCATGCCTGACCTGGGGAAGAAGCCCATCTGGTGGGAGGCACCCCTCTCCCACCCTCCATCTGCCCTGGCCCAATTGCTGGCCCTGAGCCTGTGCTCAGGGAGACTCAACACAGGCCCTTTGTCCCTTGGGATCAGGGCTCCCAAGAGAGGGATTTACTGAGCATTTATTCCTGCCCCGGGCACACCCAGTCCTCATTCTGCCAGGAGAGGGGAACAATGAGGCCTTCTCCTGCCTGCAGAGGTGGCCCCGGGCAGGCTGGCCCTTGTGTGTCAGGAGTCGGGTTAGGGCCACAAGCCCCTGGCCTCCCTGCCCTCCAGGTGTGGGACTTGGGAAGACCCCTCTGTGGCTCTGCAGCCTGAGGCACAGCAGACAAGAGGGTCTCCATCTGCACCCACTCAGTGGGTGGGGCCTCCCTGTGGCCTGGGGGCCAGGCTGAGCCTCTGCAGGAAGCCCCCAGCCTCACTGGAGGCAGGAACATGAGTCCCTAGCTAGGATCTCCAGATAGGACTGGCCTGACTGAGACTCTGAGCAAAGTCAGGAGCTGTCTCCTCCCAGGGGCTTGGCGGCTCCCTGGGACTCAGGAACCAGAAGGAAGGCCCTGCTGCCTGGGGGAGGGGCAGGATCAGAAGCCCAGGGCCTTTACCCCAACCCCAGCAGGTCAACACGGGCTATGCGTGTGGACTTGTCCTTGAGCGGCTGCTGCTGGGGAAGGAGGCCCTGAGAGAAGGCACCACAGCCTTGTGCTCCTGAAACCACAGCTCCTGCATGCCTGCAGCACACTCACTGAGTTCCCGTTGGTGCCACACCTGCACTAAGCATTTCTTTTTTTTCTTTTTTTTTTTTTTTTAAGAGGCAAACTCTGTCTCTGTTGCCCAGGCTGGAGTACAGTGGCTCGATCTCGGCTCACTGTAACCTCCACCTCCCGGGTTCAAGCGATTCCTCTGCCTCTGCCTCTGCCTCCCAAGTAGCTGGGATTACAGGCACCCACCACCACGCCTGGCTAATTTTTTTATTTTTAGTAGAGATGGGATTTCATCATATTGGCCAGGCTGGTCTCGAACTCCTGACCTTGTGATCTGCCTGCCTCGGCCTCCCAAAGTGCTGGGATTACAGGCGTGAACCACCATGCCTGGCATAGTTTTTTTCTTTCTTTTTTTTTTTTTTTTTTTTTTTAAAGAGATAAGGTCTCACTTTGGCACCCAGACTGGAGCCAGTGTAGTGGTGTGATTCTAGCTCACTGCAACTTCGAAGTCCTGGGCTCCTTCCACCTCGGTCTTCTGAGTGTAGCTGAGTCTACAGGCCCACACTACCACACCCAGCTAAGGAACCACAGAGCCCCAAAGAGGGAAGCACAGACCTGGCTCAGGGAGCTCCCAGGTCTGGGCTCCCCTGAAGCACTGCAGCTTTTCTCTCCTTCTCTTCACCAGAAATGTGGCGAGCAAGGGCCGTGTTCAGCCCTGTTTGTGTTACAGCTCCTTTATCTTCGCCATTTCATGGGTCCCGAGTTCTTGTCCTGTGACCAGGAAGAACGAGGTATGCAGACAAGTGGAGGGTGAGCAAGGCAAAGAGGAGATTTACTGAGTGATAGAACCAAATTTTGGGTAAAGCAGTTAGAGTCAGTTACTACTATACTGGTTGGACAAAGAATAGTTGTTAACTGTGAAGATGTGACAAAACTATGTGAGGCTTAGAATGTAAGAGCTATTCTTTAAATGTCTGTGCAGGATTCTCTTGGTCTCAGTTTCTCACCCTTGAAGGTAGAGTGTTGCCTTTCCTTCCGGTGTAGGGAGAGTCTTTTACATGGACTTTTCATCCTTTGCTTTAAAGAAACAGCACAAAGGTCAAAATGATTTTTTTGAAAACTGCTGTTTTCAAGTGTCTTTACTTAAATAGTCAATATGCCAGAATCCTGAGGAGTTTGGGGAAAAGAGAATTTAGTTTAGAGAGGGATAAAGAAGAGGTGTAGAAATGGGACAGGAAGGCTGCAGACAGGAAAGAATCTCAGCTCGCTTTGAGCCAGTGTCTTGTGGAGAGGCAATTTTGAATCAGAATGCGCTTAGAACTTCAAGAAACACATGAAGTATGCCACTCATTCAGATTGCTTAATTTTAGGCTCACGGTCTCATAATTTAGCCCTAAAAGACAATTTTGGGGGAACTCAAAAGACCCCCAGTGAAGTGGTGTCATTGTCTGAGGTAAATACCCGAGGTTTGTTGCCTCATGCCAAGGAAATCAAGGACACAGACACATGTGGAGTGAGATTAACAATGGAGGTTTAGTAGAAGAAAGAAAGAGAAAGGAGAACAGTTCTGTCTCCAGTGAAGGAGAGGGGTTCCTGAGTGGGACTTCTTGCCTGCGGCAGAATGCACAGGGTTTTATAGACAGGCTTGAGGAGGCGGTGCCTGATTTACATAGGGCCCAAAGATTGGCTGGACCAGGTGTGACGTTTACATAGCGTGCGGGGAAGCTGGTCACCCCACCCTAATCTCTTATTATGCAAATAAGGTCTCTACTTGGCCAGCGCCTCGTTGCCTGCTCCTTACTGTGCATGTAGTTGACAAAGAAAGAGGAAGATGGAGCCACCATGCTGTACTGCCTAGTCCCCAGTTAGCTTTTCCTACGACACAGCTGTTAGCATTCACCCATGCAAGCTTCTAGCTTGCTTGTCTATATCTGCAGCTCGATTTTACAAGCTGCTCTTTGTTAGAAAAGAAAATAACTTGGGGGCTGCTTTTCATTAGAAAGAAAACCTGCCCGGGCACGGTGGCTCACGCCTATAATCTCAGCACTTTGGGAGGCCAAGGGGGTCAGATCACCTGAGGCTGGGAGTTCCAGACCAGCCTGAACAACATGGAGAAACCCCGTCTCTACTAAAAATACAAAATTAGCCGGGCGTGGTGGCGCATGCCTGTAATCCCAGCTACTCAGGAGGCTGAGGCAGAAGAATTGCATGAACTTGGGAGGTGGAGGTTGCGGTGAATCGAGATCTCACGACTGCACTCCAGCCTGGACAAGAGCAAAATTTCATCTCAAAAAAAAAAGAAAGAAAGAAAGAAAGAAGAAAACCATACCAAGAATTTCTTTCCCCTCGCTATCTGCCTAAATAATCTCTTCTTAACTCCTATATCACCAGGAGGGCCATAAAAGATCCGAAGTAGCTTAGGTGTACTCTGTCCCTTGATTTGAAAGCACCTCCAGCCTCAGTCACTGAGCCACAGCCAAGGACTTAGCAGCCCCCGCTTCGAATCCTCTCACTCCCCCACACTCTGTCCCCCTCACAGTGCTTTCTCCTGCCATGCCACTGCCTTCCACAGGCCATTTCCACCGAGGAAAAGGAATCATCTTGTACGTCCACTATCCAGATTCTCCACTCTTTCCACCCCTTTGCTGATGTAAGTAAGAGTAATGACCTGCTCCCTGCAGGCACTGAGGATTAGATCCATGCAAGAATTCAGCAGAGAAACGACAGGAAAACCCTTAGTCCTGTCTAAGGGATCACTAACGATTACAATAAAAAGCAACTAGTGAAGGCATTTAAGAGGAAATTTGCCTGCAATGGGACGGTAACTGAGCATCCAGAATACAGAGAAGCCATTCAGCTACAGGATGACCAGTGCAAGAACATATGCCAGTGCCTTGTAGAGGTAGGACTGGCTAAGGACGATCGACTGATGGTTCAAGGGTTTTAACTACTTGTGGCTCACTGAAACTTAAGTGAGGATTTCCTCGTAATGAGTAGAATTTCCCTTCTTTCCCTTGTTACAAGTTTAAAAACCTCACAGTTTGTCTAATGTAACCATTTGGGGTCTGCTTTTAACTTGGACTAGTGTAATTCCTTCACGCAATAAACTGAAAAAATAAAAATAAAAAAATAAAAACATAGCTAAGGGAGGACCATGATTTTCATTTTATTTTATTTTATTTTTTTTTTGAGACGGAGTCTCGCTCTGTCGCCCAGGCTGGAGTGCAGTGGTGCAATCTCGGCTCACTGCACGCTCCGCCTCCCGGGTTCACACCATTCTCCTGCCTCAGCCTCCCGAGTAGCTGGGACTACAGGCGCCTGCCACTGCGCCCGGCTAATTTTTTCTATTTTTAGTAGAGACAGAGTTTCACCATGGTCTCGATCTCCTGACCTTGTGATCTGCCCACCTCGGCCTCCCAAAGTGCTGGGATTACAGGCGTGAGCCACCGCGCCCGGCCAGGACCATGATTTTCAAACACGGAGCCAGCTGGAGTCCCACAAGGGGAAGCATTATTGCCTACTCCCTGGGTGCCCAGAGCCTCACCTCAGGGCTGCGCCAGCTCTGGGGCATCCTATGCCCCAGGACTACTCTCAACATGGTGGGGGGGCGTGGTCAAGAGAGAAACGCCCACCCTGGTGTCCTTGTCCTCAGTGGGCCAATGCTGAGGCCCCCACAGGATTGCACCCCAGTTGCCTAGAATGGCACCCTCTGTGTTTGTGCAAGCTCATCAGCGTTCCCTCCCTCCCTGCCTCAGTTTCCCCACTTCCTGCAATCACCTCCCAGATAAACTACCTGCACCCATGTCCTGGTCCTAGGTCAGCCTTGGGGGAACCATGGTAAGATCAGGATGTCTGGCGTTTCTGTGCTGGATCCTTAGGGGGTGAGGGATGCCACGATCATTTCCTCCAATGCACACACCCCCACTCCAGGCTTCTCAGCTCCTGGCACCCTGGAACTACTCCTGTTCCATTGCGGGGCATGATATGCGTCTAATTTCAGTTACTCAGGAGGGTGAGGCAGGAGGATCGAGATCAGCCTAGGAGTTCAAGACCAGCCTGAGCAACACACAATTCTCTTTCTGATCAAAACAGAACAGATGTGGATGTGAGCCAGGGGCACAGACAGGCCGGCTGCACAAGAGAGAATGAGCTGTCCATGAAGCCACCGCATTTGAGGAATACTCTGCAAGGCATCAACTGGAATGTATTTATTACCAAACAAGACAGAAGAGAACCAGGGCCTGACTTAGCAGTGGCCCCAGCCTGCACGGGCTTGGGTAGGCTCAGGCTGGCCCCAGGACTGGGAGAGCCCAGAGAAGAGGGAGAAAGAGCAGCGGCCAGGAGGGGTCTGGCTGGGACATGCCACTCTGGGCCATCAGCTTCTGGATCCACCCGAAGTGGTAGCTGACATTGGTGTAGACACCGGGCCGATTGGGCCGACCACAGCCCACTCCCCAGCTCACGACTCCAATCTGATACCACAGTCCATTCTTGTTACAGGCCAAGGGTCCACCTGAGTCACCCTGGGGAGCAGCGGGGCTGAGATCAGCCTGGGGCGGAGTGAGTGGGGCAGGGGAGAAGCCGAGAGCAGGAAGGGCTGTGGGGCTGGGTAGACTGGGTGCACATCCTTCTCCTCCCCCTGGCAGCGGCCAAGCCTCCGTTTCTGCATCTGCAGAGTGGGGCAACAGTCTCCACCTCCTGGGGTTGGCATGAGGGTCAAATAAGGCACAGGGACACAGGTTGCTTTCCTGGGCTGGGAGTGGTGGCAGGGACACTCACAAAGCAGGAATCCTTCTCGCCTTGGGCATCGCCAGCACAAACCATGTCTCCAAAGATGTCCGTGCGGAAACTGTACTTGAAGAAGAGGTAGTTGCACATAGAGTTGTTCATGATGGCGACCTGAACTTCCTGGAGGGTATAGGGAGATGGCAGTTCTGTGGGGACGATAGAGGGAAAGAGAGAGACACCAACCTGAGGCCCCTCTAGGGAGGGATGGCATAGGCTGTGGGGGTGGGGGTCCTAGAGCACCCACTGTGCCTGGCAAGTTCATCTCCATTACCCCCAGCTCCAGCCCAGACCCCAGCACAGCAGAGGCCCTCAGCAGCATCACGAAGGCCCCAGCGAGAGACAGGCTGTCAGAGCTCCCCCAGCCTCACTTTCCCTATCTGTAGAATGGCAACAATGGCCCTGCCTGCGCCCACGGAGAGATTCCTTAGCAAAAAGCAGCAGGGGGAGGGGCGAAGGCAGCTGAGATGGTGTTAAGATGAGCACCCAAAGCCAGACCTGGGGGAGAGGCAGCCTGGCTGCAGCCCTGGCCTCAGTAGCAGCTGGGCGCTTTCAGGGCCTGGGCACAAGCTTGTTGCGGAGCTCTTAGGGCCCCCCCAGTACCCCTGGGAGGCAGCAGTCATCAAGAACCACTCCCAGATAAGGAGAGTCAGGGGGATATCACCCCGCTGACCCCCGGCAAGGCACTGGGGAAGTCTCAGAGCCTGACAGGAACCCACACCAGTCCAATTCCTGTCTCAGAGTCCCAGCCAGCACCTTGTACTGCAGAGGATGACAAAAGACAACAAGGCCCAACCTGCAGGCAGCGCTTCCCATCAGCGGGGTCTCTCCTAAGCCCTTGGGACTAACAACCTGGGAACTAGCCTGTGATGTGGAACCATCATTACCCTGTTTCACAGGGGAGGAAACTGAGGCACCGTGAGATGAACAGCTTTGCCCAAGGCCTCCCAGCCAGCGCAGGGCAGAGCAAAGGTGCATACCAGGCAGGGGGCTCCAGAAGTGCCTGCCCCCCGCCTCCCCTACACTGTGAGTTGAGGCGCAGCCTGGGGTTGGTGTGACCTGTCCACTCTGGGCTGCGGAGAGAGGGTGGCAGAGGCAGCCTGGCCGTGCCCCCGGCTCACACCCACTCATCTTTGCAGCAGGGGCCCTTCTCAGGGAAGGGAAAGGATCCCTCCTCTAGAGGGAGGCGGCTCCAGTGCTGAGTTTCCCATTCCCGCTTCCAACTGCCGGGGTGTGACCTGGGGACATCCCTTACCCTCTCTAAGGCAAGGGGCCCTGACTTCTCCATTTATCAGTTCTTGGCAATTTCCATAACCCTCTCAGTTTTCTCATCTGTAAAATGGGTATAAAAACGTTACCAACTTCATTCCTAGGTGAGCTCCAGGAGGAGGAGAGGCCGCGCCTGCCTCACTGCTGGGTCCCCATGCCTAGAACAGTGCCAGGCACACTGCGTGTGCTCAAGGAACCACGTTTGTTATTGTTACTACTGTTGTGGGATGATGCAGGAACAGGCCAGACAGGGGAGCAGAGGGAAGGGGATTCCTAATACAGGGAACACACCCAGTCGGGGGCTGCCGGCCCCAGGGCTCCTCCAGATGCTGGGCCCACTTCTTTCAGGACATGTGTGTTGGGGGACATGCAGGTGCCAGGGCAGGCCCACCAGAGAATCCCCAGAGGGGTTTCCGTGGGAGCTGCAGTTGAGCATGGCTTGAAAATTTATGGGGAGAGGAATGGGCTCAGTGCTGCAGGAGAATCGGCCAGAGCTAGGGTGGGTGCAAGAGGCTTGGAGAGGCAGCCCGGGAGCCTGATGCCTGGGGCATTGGTGAGCACCGGGGGAGGTGGAAAGATGCAGCAATAAATTCAAGTCTGACGTTTATGTCGCCAAGCCCTCCAGAACCCCTCCACCACCCCACCACCCACAGGCCTGTACCAAGCTGGCCTCCCTCTCACACTCTCCTTCTGGCCCCCACAGCCCCTGGAAGGGAGAGACTGGGTGTTTGGTCCCTGCCCTGGTAGGTGAGGAGAGACTGCGCACAAGAGGGGCGTAGCCTGCACTCCCAGACCAAGCAAGGGGCTGTTGTGCCTGTGTAGGGGAACAGGTGAACAAAGACAGTTCCTCCCTGACCTGCCTGTCCCCAGCCTCACCCTCATCCTCTTTGATGTTCCCCCAGCCGGTCACCCAGCAGTCTGTCCGGTTCTGAAACTCAAATGTGGAAGCCTGGAGACAGATGGGCTGGATGTGGTTAGTGTAGGTGACAGGTGCAGACAGCTTCACCAAGGCAATGTCATAGGGTGAATTCCCCAGGTAGCGAGGGCTCAGATAGATATTCGACACGAAGTAACGGGTGTAGTAGGCCTGCAGGCTCCAGAAGGATGGCATGGAAGTCAGCTGGCCAAACTGGATCGTCCACCCAGAGGGATCACTAAGGTCACTCTCTCTGGTAGAAGAGAAGAGAGCAATCAGGGGCCCTGGACGGAGGGCTGGCTGCCTGAGCACAACTGGGGCCCAGTCCAGGAGGGGAGACTGTGACATTGCTACTACTTGCTAACACCCAGGGTCCCCTGTAGAAATGAAAGAGCCCAGAGAGATCACAACCAAAGTCCTAGGACCTGCTCCTGGAGCAGGAGGGTGGGGTCTTGTCATCTCCCAGAGCTGTCCCAAGGACCCTTGCATTAAGCCAAGGCCTCCAGGGGTACCCCCATGCAGCCCAAGGAGGAATGGGCAGATGCACCACGGCAGTGTGGGCTTGGCAGGATGGAGTCCACATAGCGTCCCGGGCGTGCTCGCCTTGGTTCAGTGCTCCACACTGTACTGCACGTCCACCAGGAGGGGAATGAGGGTGGGATGGATGGTGGTGAGCTTTGGGTTAAAAGAAAAAGGGAGAGAATACCCAAAAGTGTGTGGAAATGTTCTGGAAGAACATTCTGGAAGAACCTGAACAGGGTTCCCTCCCGGAGACCCAAAAGGAACTGGAATGGGTGTAACCGGCTGCAGCAGAGCCTGGGGCTCAGTAGAACACCAGGCGGCATCCACGCACCACATTCACGCCCAAGTGTGGCATCAGACCATAGGTAAAGTTATGTGGCACTCCCTCCAGCCCTGCTCCTGCCCGTCCCCACACCCCTCAGTTCGCACCCCACTCACTCTTCAAAGCAGTGCGCCGCAGTGAGCGCCCAGCGGTGGCTGAGCAGACTCGCTCCGCACACGTGGGAATCCCACAGGCGCAGGCTCCCCTGCCATGGCCAACGCCCGAGTTCAGCGTCCAGTCCACCCACGATGCGCGTCGTGATGACCCGTTGGCCGCATGGTCCTCGGATGGTCAGAGGAACTGCTGAGCCGCGGGAGGCAGCCCCCCAAGCCCGACCTCTCCCTTTCTCCCCTTCAACCCAGCCAGGAAACCACGCTTTTACCCACCCAGTGTCCCCTCGCGTGTGTAGAGCAGGAAGTAGGTGACACTGGAGACCCTCCCACGTGCTCTGCAGGGCCTGCCCATCCCCCTCCAGCGCCCATTGGTTACTTTCCACACCAACAGAGTTCTCGATCCCGGGGGCGAGGCCGAGAGAGCAGTAGAGGCCCCCCTTCCCCTCCCCCCGCCCCCGTGCACCTCAGCCCAACGGCCCCGGCGGGCATCACGCATCCTGAGCGCCCTACCTGACGACAGATCCACCTCATCTGACTCTGCAGGAGAGAAGAAGTGAGCTCCCCGCGGCCTCCACCTCCCGTCCTCCCCATCGCCCCCGCTCCCCGTCCCGCCAGCAGCGCCCCGAGCTCACTCGGCTTCCCGAGTCCCGCCAGCGCCAGCAGCAGCGCCAGCAGCGGCGCCCGGCGCGCGCCCATGGCCTCCTCTCCAGCGGCCTGGCGCCTCCTCTGCCTCCTCTCGCGCCGGGCCAGGGGCGCCCCCTGGGGGCGGGGCGGGGTGGGAGCTCTGCCCTCTACTCCCAGCTTCACACTCCTGGGCCCAAGGGCTGTTTGGGGACTCTCAGCCCTGATAGCGCCCTGGCTTTCAGCTCCTAGGGCGGATCTTCAACCACACTCCTTGATGTGGCCCAGACCCAGTGGACCCCACAGTCCCTTTCTTGTCTGCAGCCCAGGGGTCCTGGCTGCCCGCTTGGTGCCCGGTGTCCTCCACCTACCACCTCCTCCAGCACCAAGGGCCTGGCCGTGAGCCAGGAGTCCCCTTAAAGCCTGGGGGCCCCTGAGGGCCGGGTGGGGCCTAGCAGCGTGGCTGATCCTTCATGAGACTTTCTTTTTTTTTTTTCCTTTTTTTTTTTTTTTTTTTGAGACGGAGTCTCGCTCTGTCGCCCAGACTGGAGTGCAGTGGCCGGATCTTGGCTCACTGCAAGCTCCGCCTCCTGGGTTTACGCCATTCTCCTGCCTCAGCCTCCCGAGTAGCTGGGACTACAGGCGCCCGCCACCATGCCCGGCTAGTTTTTTTGTATTTTTTAGTAGAGACGGGGTTTCACTGTGTTAGCCAGGATAGTCTCGATCTCCTGACCTCGTGATCCGGCCATCTCGGCCTCCCAAAGTGCTGGGATTACAGGCTTGAGCCACCGCGCCCGGCCCATGAGACTTTCTTGGGAAAACAGTGCTCTTGGGCCGGTTCCACCCAGAATGGGGATCCTGCCAAGTCTCTACCCAGGCCGTCCCCACTGCGGGCTCCCACTGGGCTTTCTTCACTCCTCTGAAACAAATTTTTTTGATGTTGTTGAGATGGAATTTCGCTGTTGTCGCCCAGGCTGGAATGCATTGGTGTGATCCCAGCTCACTGCAACCTCCACCTCCCAGGTTCAAGCGGTTCTCCTGCCTCAGCCTCCCAAGTAGCTGGGGTTACAGACACGCACCAGCACACCTGGCTCATTTTTGTATTTTTAGTAGAGACGGGGTTTCGCCATGTTAACCAGGCTGGTTTCCAACTCCTGATCTCAGGTGATCCACCTCCTCCGCCTCTCAAAGTGCTGGGATTACAGGCATGAGCCACCGCACCTGGCTGCAATTCCACTTCCGAGTATACACCCAAAAGAACTGAAAGGAAGGTCTTCAAGATATATCGGTTTTTGTTTTTTGGGGGGGTTTAGTTTTGGGGGTTTGTTTTTGAGATGGTGTCTTGCTCTGTCGCTCGGGCTAGAGTGCAGTGGCGGGATCTTGGCTCACTGCAACTTCTGCCTCCTGGATCCAAGTGATTCTCCTGTCTCAGCCTCCAGAGTAGCTGGGATTAGAGGCACCCACCACCATGCTCGGCTAATTTTTGTATTTTTAGTAGAGATGAGGTTTCGCCGTGTTGGCCAGGCTAGTCTTGAACTTCTGACCTCAGGTGATCTGCCCTCCACGGCCTCCCAAAGTGCCAGGGTGAAGGTGTGAGCCACCATGCCCGGCCTTCAAGAGATATTTGTATACCCATGTTCATAGCAGGATTATTCACAGTAGCTGACATGAAAGCAACCCGAGAATCCATTGACCAATGAACGGATCAGTGAAAATGGGAATGTACAATTACATGCCACATAATGAGGTTTTGCTCAGTGATTGACCACACAGGTACACGACAGTGGTTCCATAAGATTATAATACCATATTTCGATTGTACTTTTCTATGTTTAGATACACAAATACGTATTATTGTGTTAGAGTTGCCTACAGTGTTTAGTATGGTAACAAGCTCTGTAGCTTTGTAGTCTAAGAGCAATAGGCTAGACCACCTACCCTGGGTGTAGCAGGCTATGCCACATAGGTATGTGGAAATGCACTCTGTGATGTTCCTGCAATGTTGACATCACCTAGCCACGCTTTTCTCAGAAGGTATACTTGTTGTTAAGTAATGGATGACTTTCTGCTGAACTAGACATTTAAAATGATTAAAGTGGGCCGGGCGCTGTGGCTCTCACCTGTAATCCCAGCACTTTGAGGGGCCGAGACAGGCAGATCACAAGCTCAGGAGTTGGAGACCAGCCTGGCCAATACGGTGAAACCCCATCTCTACTAAAAATACAAAAATTAGCTGGTGGTGCTGGTGGATGCTGTAATCCCAGCTACTTGGGAGGCTGAGGCAGGAGAATCTCTTGCACCTGGGAGGTGGAGGCTGCAGTGAGCCGAGATAGCATCACTGCACTCCAGCGTGGGTGACAGAGCGAGACTCGGTCTCAAAAAATTAAAAAATAAAATGGTTAAAGTGGTTTCATGTTATGTATATTTTATCGCAATAAAAAATAATGTTTTAAAACCTGTGAATAGGCCAGGCGTGGTGGCTCACACCTACAATTCCCACCAGTTTGGGAGGCCGAGGCGGGTGGGCCCCTTGAGGTCAGGAGTTCGAGACCAGCCTGCCCAACATGGTGAAACCCCGTCTCTACTAAAAACAGAAGAATTAGCTGGGTATGGTGACTGGTGCCTGTAATTCCAGCTACTCAGGAGGCTGAGGCAGGAGAATCGCTTGAACCAGGAGGTGGAGCTTGCAGAGAGCCAAGATTACACCACTGCACTCCAGCCTGGGCGACAGAGAGTTCATCTCAAAATAAATAAATAAATAAATAATAAAACCTGTGAATATACACTTCCAAATTTGTGATTTCATTGTATGCAAATTATGCTTCAAAATGAGAAAAGCTCAACCCTACGACAGTCTGGTAAATGACACGCATGCAGAAGTGTCTGAGGGAAGGTGAACTGAGGTCAGCACCTGATATGTCTGAGGAAAGAAGATGAAGCGATGGGTGGACGGAGGGTCCGGGACATGGGCAAATGTAGTGACATCCACACAGGAGAATGCTGAGGACAGGAGAGGCAGGGAGTGCATGGGTGTCACTGTCACCTTTTACTCTCCAATATGTCTGAATTTGGGTGGTAAATGTAGGGGAAACGTCTGTTGGCTTTGTCCTTGGAGGACAGCTCCTCAGGGCCCATCCGCAGCTTCCGCCATCTTGGTCCGTCTGGACCGTCCATCCTCGAGTCTCAAAAATTCTAGTCCCTCTACATGGCTCGTGGTGGGGGCCGCAGTCAGGAACTGGCCTCCGGGACCAGTGACGCACCCACAGGGCTACTCCCTCTGCAGCCTCCCAGGGAGGGCTCAACCACTCCTGGGAAGGAGACGAGCAACTGACTCAAACCAGTGTGAGGCTGTTCTAGTGTCTGACACCATCGAGGGCCTCATCCGGGCTGGTCCTCATGTATCAGTCCATTCTCACGCTGCTAATAAAGACATAACTGAGGGTAGGTATTTTATAAAGGAAAGAGGTTTAATTGACTCACAGTTCAGCATGGCTGGGGAGGCCTCAGGAAACTTAAATCACGGCAGAAAGGGAAGCAAACACATCCTTCTTCACATGGTGGCAGTAAGGAGAAGTGCCGGGCAAAACGGGGAACATCTCTGTATAAAACCAGCAGATGTTGTGAGAATTCACTCTCTATCACGAGAACAGCAGCATGGCGGTAACTCACTGCCCACGATTGAATTACCTCTCACCAGGTCCCTCCCACAATATGTGGGAATGATGGGAACTACAATTCAAGATGAGATTTGGGCGGGGACACAGCCAAACCATATCACCTCAATAACACGGACTGGTTTCCCCAGCAGATGGCCGGCGGCCACAAACATTGTCTCACTCCTCCCTCCCAACAGCCTCAGGCGCTGGGGTGTGCTGGGGCCTGTTTATTGACAGAGAAACCGAGGCTGAGAGTGGCTGCGTGAGGTGCAGTCAGGAACAGGGTCGGAGTGTAGCGCCGGGCCAGGCTGCTCAGGTCACTTACCACGGAATCTACCGGGGCAGGTGCGAAGGCTGAGCCGGACATCCTTCCTCCATTCACAGGACAGGGCCCGAGCAAGTCAGCTGGAGCACAGCCACGGAGGTGGACAGGGTGGGCCCCTGTGGGGCACTTCCTGGCCCCCAGGAGGGGAGGTCAGGGGAGTGGGGCGAGCCCCAGGTTCTAAGCACGTGCCTGCCTCAGGAGAGATTCAGGGGGATGCTAACCAGGTGCTATGGGCTGTCTTTGTCCCCGAAAGTTCATATGTGGAAGCTCTAAGCTCTAAGCATATGTGTCAGAGGTAGGACCTTTGAAGGTGATGAGGTTGAGATGAGGCCATGAGCACAGGACCCCCAGCGATGGATTAGGGCCCTTATAAGAAAAGGAGACCAGGACTCTCTTCTTCACCCCTCCCCAAACCTCCCCAAAGAAGAGGACACGGTGAGAAGATGGGGGTCTGCACGCCAGAAAGGAACCCTCACCAGCAGCTGCATCGCTCAGCACTTTGATCCTGGACTTCCAGCCTCCAGAACTGTGAGAAACAAACGTCTATTGTCTACCAGCCCCCTACGGCGTGGGATTTGTGTTACCGCAGCCTGAGCTGACCCAGACGCCAAGGAGCAACACACGCACCAGTGCAGGCCGCAGAAACCAGAACCCGGGAATCCCGCCTCCATCGACTTGAAACTTGGGAATAGTGCATTCTATTTTCAACACTAGTGGAAGGTGAATTATATGAAAGATTAGGCAAAATGTGTGGTTATGTGTCCTGGTTTTCCAATAAAAATATTGAGTTTCTCTGGGGAAAGTGCAGATAAAACGCTTAGCACAGAGTGTGGCACCAACAGGAACTCAGTGAGGGCGCAAGCGGGCGTGCGGGAGCTTCGGGTTTCAGGAGCACAAGGCTGCAGTGCCTTCCCTCAGGGCCTCCTTCTCCAGCAGCAGCCGCTCAAGGACAAGTCACAGGCACAGCCCGGTGTCGCCCTGCTGGGGTTGGGGCAAAGACCCCTGGGCTTCTGATGCTGCCCCTCCCCCAGGCAGCAGGACCTTCCCTCTGGTTCCTGAGCCCCAGGGATCCGCTGAGGCCCTAGGAGGTGTCAGCTCCTGGTTTTGCCCAGGGTCTCAGTCAGATCAGTCCTACCCGGAGATCTGAGCCAGGGACTCAGGTTCTTGCCTCCGGTGAGGCTCGGGGCTTCACGCAGAGGCTCAGCCTGGCCCAGGGGCTGCAGGGAGGTCCTGGCTGCTGCATGGGTTGCAGATGGAGACCCTCTTGTCTGCTGTGCCTCAGGCTGCAGAGCCACAGAGGGGTCTTCCCAAGTCCCACACCTGGAGGGCAGGGAGGCCAGGGACTTGTGGCCCTAACCCAATTCCTGACACACAAGGGCCAGCCTGCCCGGGGCCACCTCTGCAGGCAGGAGAAGGCCTCATTGTTCCCCTCTCCTGGCAGAATGAGGACTGGGGTGTGCCCAGGGCAGGAAATAAATGCTCAGTAAATCCCTCTCTTGGGAGCCCTGATCCCAAGGGACAAAGGGCCTGT